CCCCTAAATTTTTTATATTTTATTACTTTTTGTTTGGCTTTATTTTTAATTATTTTTTTGGTCTTTTTGAAGCAGGGTCTCCCTGTAGCCCTAGCTGTCCTGGAACTCACTATGTAGACCAGGCCAGCCTTGAACTCACAGAGATCTGCCTGCCTCTGCCTCCCAAGTGCTGGGACTACAGGCGTGCGCCACCATGCCCAGCTTATTGAAAAATTTTTTGTGTATTTCATACAGAACATCGCAAACAATCTTATTCATATATATACACCCATATCCCAAGTGGCACCCTCCTATAGCCTTCCCCCTCCCCACCCCCCACCACTGGAGCCCCTATACTCATCCCTGTTACTATCCACTGTATTGTCAGTGCCCCCAGCTGTTCCTCAGTGTTTGTCCATCTGCTGAGTCTAGTCAGCCTATCTAGAGTTCCTTGTTTTAGGAAGATCAGCTCTTCCTCATCTAGCAGCAATCAGTTGTCAATATTCCTTTGAATAAGATTGGGGTCTGCTGTTCATTTTCCCAGTTCTATGCTGGGTTACTCTCTGGGAGTGTCTTGGGCCACCCTGGCCAACAACTCAAAGGAAGGTATCTCCTGTCTGGCATTGTTTCTTGTTATGTAGCCTTTAGCTATACACATGGACTCTTAAAGAATTAAATTGATCCCTTTAATCTTTGGTTCTACTTTCCTTTTGGATGTTTAAGACCATACAAGTGATCCAGATAAACCAATTTATTTTTACACTTAAGGTTGTTTGAGGATCTGTTCCTCAGGGATCATGTGGGCTTGGGAGGAGCCCCTAGCTCCTTTCTTTTACCAGTTGCATCTATGTGAAGATAAGCCAAAAGTCCTACTTGACCATGGCTGGCTTTACTTGGAAGCATGAAGGAAATGTTTCCTTTTAGTTGACCCTCCTCTTTGTAGACTGGACACTGGTTCAAGTCCATATCGTGGAGTCTCCATGGCCTCCTTGATCAAGAGGACAGGTGACTCACCACGATTACAGGACATTTTGAGAGGTGCTCCATAGTTCCTGGAACTTAGTTGACCTTGGAGGGCAAGGAGCAAAAACTCCTCTAAATCCCTCTGACCAAATTAGTATAGACCTCAAAGTATGGCTGTTAACCATCCAAGGAGGTTAGTTCTACCAGACTGGCACTTTAGGTACCATGTGCTATATAGATAAAGCTTGGGCAAAGACCAAAGGTTCGCAGAAAAACCTTGACTAGACATATATTATGTTCCTTGAGCTTGTGTGTATAATTTATCTCTAGGTTGTTGGACTAATGTGGTTCCCTCTGTTTTTTTTTAAAAATAGCTAGGCATTATTTATCTTGCTTCGTCTAACCCTTCCACCATGGTTCCCACATTTAAAGTGCCCCAATTTTTTGCATTTCTCCATTAATAATAACCTTCTCCACTTCTCTTGAGCTCCTTCTTTCCCTTTATCCCCAAGGTTCCTTGTATAACCCTCCCTCCCTCCTCCCCTTAAAATAACCCAAATTTTATCCATATCTCCCTTATTAACACCTGTTTCCTATGATTCTTGTCTTTCAGATTCTTTCTTTTTCTTTACTTCCTTGGTTCCTTTTCATTATCCTGGTTCCCATAGTTATGTCTGGATACATATATACTTACAAGGATTTGGTTCTAGGGTCCACATATGAGGGAGAGCATATGTGGTTTATTTTTCTGAGTCTGTGTTACTTCACTTAGTATAACAGTTTCTAGTTCCATCCCTTTACCTGCAAATTTCACGATTTCATCTTTCTTTATTGCCGAATAAAACCCCATAGTATAAATGAACCACATTTTCATGATCCACTTGTCAGTTGAGGGACACTTAAGGTTGCTTCCGTCTCTTAGCTGTTGTGAAAAAGAGCAGCAACAAACAAGAATGTACAAGTGTCTGCAATAGGATAAGTCCTTTGGGTATATGCCAAGGAGTGGTATAACTGGATCAACTGGTGGGTTCATTTGTAGTTTTTTAAGAGTTCTCCACACTGCTTTTGATAGGGATTGAACCAGTTTGCAGCCCCACCAGCAATGGATGAGTGTTCCCCTTTCCCCACATCCTCTCCAACATTTGGTATCATTTGTTCTCTTGATCTTAGCCAGTCTGACTGGGGGAAGATGAAATCTTAAAGTGGTTTTAATTTGCATTTCCCTAATTACTAATGATGTTCAACACCTTTTAAGAGGCTTCTTAGCCATCTTTATTTCTTCTTTTAAGAACTCAGCTCCTTAGTCCATGTTTTAATTGGGTTACTTCCTTTCCTGATTCTTTGTTTTTTGAGTTCGTTATATATTCTGGATGTTAAATCTCTGTCAGACATGTTGCTGGTGAAGATTTTCTCCCATTCTGTAGGTTTTCTCCTCACTTTCTTTGTTGCTTCTTTTGATGTACAGAAGTTTTTTAGTTTAATGACATCCCATTTGTTGATTCTTGACCTTGTTTCCTGAGCAATTGATGTTGTTTAGAAAAATCCTTTCCTACACCTGTATCTTGTAGGTTTTTCCCAATGTTTTCTTCTAACAGTTTCGGAGTTTCAGGCTTCATGTTGAGCTCTTTGATCCATTGGAGTTGACTTTTGTTCAAGGTGAAAGATAGGGGTTTAAGTTCATTCTTCTACAGGTAGAGATCCAGTTTTGCCAGCACCATTTGCTGAACATGCTGTCTTTCCTCCAGTGAACGTTCTTGGCCCCTTTGTCAAATATCAGGTGGCTGAAATGAAATGTACTCATATTTGGGTCTTCAATTTTGTCCATTGATCTACAGGTCTATTTTTATGCCAGTACCATGTTGTTTTTATGACTATAGCTCTGTAATACATTTTAAAATCTGGTACAGTAATCCCCTCAGCAATGCTCTTAGTGCTCAGCGTTGCTTTGGCTTCCATATGAACCTTAAGATTTTTTTTTTTTTCCAATTCTGTGAAAAATGTCATGGGGATTTTGATTGGCATTGCACTGAATCT